CTCTGTGTGTTTGTTTCCTTGCGGACAAAAAAAGGGGGAGCGCACATTTCCGAGAAGGCGTGTCCTTTTCAAAAATGCAAGAGGCGTTGCTTTGTTGCCGGCCGTTTTCGCCAGTGTGTTAAACACACTTTAGAAAGGAGTGTCCCCAGACTATCAGAAGGCGGAGATCTCTGATTGTCTGGTGGCGAGACTACCTGGCAGGGAAGTCTACCACCATCTCCTTAGTCTTGGTGATGCTCAGGAGGAGGCAGTTCGTATTTCTCCAGTCACTGAAGGCCTCCGCCAGGTCCCTGTACTCCCCCTCCTGTCCACAACAGGTGTATCATCTGAATACTTCTGAATGTGGCCGGACTCAGAGTATTTAAAGTCACATGTGTACAGCCTGAACAGGAACGGAGCCAAAACCTGACAAAGTGCGTCGTTGCTATTAAGTAGTCCATGATCCAGGAAGTCAAGGAGGGCGCCACCCCCATCCCTCTGAGCTTGCCTCTCAGTATGGGGGGCTGAATGGTGTTAAATGCACTTGAAAAATCGAAAAACATAACCCTCACATAGGAATCAGGCACATCTAGGTAGGCAAACTGAAGAGGTTCTTGTTCCTGTGCCACCTGTGGTCTTATGTGATGGAGAAGCAGTCGCTCTAGGGTTTTCATAATGTGTGACATCAGAGCCACCGGCTTGTAGTCATTCATCTCTACCAGACACCCTGTTTTAGGCACCGGTACGAGACTTTCTCCATCTGTAGACTCAGCTTGCAGAGCGTCATATACATATATGCATGACTGTGTATCTGTTCCTTTGTATTTCTTCCTGTGTGCAGCGTGTACACTATGTGCTCATCACCAAACACCAGATAGACACAGTTACGCTGGGTTCACTTTGGACACAGAAGCACCATGAAGCACGGCAATTTTCGGTGGAGCACTGCCCACTGCCTTTCTGCCCCCTGTGAGTCAGCTGGTCTGGTCACACAGGACATGCTGCGGCCTCACGTTTTGCAGCCAGCTCGCAATCTGCAGCGACAGTTTCAGTGTCTTGCCTTTTTCCGCGAGCAAATCTGGCACACTGAGAATCTATTTTGAGCAATTGCAAGGCTATATTAGACAGAATATAAATGATCTGATTGTGATAAATCATAAATATGCATCCAGTGCTTCCACATGTTGTTCAAGAAATTTACAAACTGATGATTTAGGTGCTGAAGAAGACTTTGATGGGTCACACACAATATTTAATGAAGACTCGATGGAGGAGAATCACAGCTCAACATACAGAGTGTAACACAGATTCTGAGGGTGTCCTCGCCCAGTTCTTGCATTTAACCCAAACAGTACTCCCTTGCGAGTCACTTCATGTTCCCAAATAAGGTTATTCTGTCCTGATCTATGGCTGTGTGAAGTTTCTATTGCTTACTACCTTTAAACAACAAGCACGCTCACCTGGCTCGCACTAAATCACCTCGACTGTTTGTTACAAAATGCACATGTCTAAAAAGAGACTCTCGTCTGTAGCCTGGGGCACAGGACAGTCTCCCTTCCCCTTGACCTTGGGAGCTATGGCAACGGAGCCGGCTAGGCACCCTTATCTGGGCAGCTGTACTCCGTCTGCCACAACTAGGAGACCAAAGATAGACTGCGGTCATAACTGAGGTCAAGTAGGCTGACCTCAAGGCCTCTTTTAGGCCTCCTGCTGACCTGACTGTTACCTTGACCATAACTATCATCCATTTCCTTTACTGACTGAGGCCAAAGGCTGTAACACAACAAAATTTCTTCACATTTGTTAGTCGTGTCTAAATACAGACACACACACACACACACACACACACAAAGTTAAGACTAAAACAGCTAATGAGAGTGAATATCAGGCTTCATCTGCCTGAATTAACGCTGTGCTCTGTTGTATTGTTTTTTTGCAGATACTGGCAGGACCTGGGCTACCTGATAGTATACGTAACGGGTCGCCCTGACATGCAGAAGCAGCGTGTGGTGGCCTGGCTCTCTCAGCATAACTTCCCCCACGGCGTCGTCTCGTTCTGTGACGGGCTGGTTCACGACCCGCTCCGGCACAAGGCCAACTTCCTCAAATGCCTCATCAACGAGGTGAGGAAGGCCGCTGTGAGTTTGAGGCAGCGTTATCATAAAATCCTTGAAGTCTCTAACAGCCGTCTTCTGTCTCTGATCAGGCCCACATGAGGATCTTTGCAGCCTACGGCTCCACCAAGGACATCTCTGTGTACACGTCGATCGGCCTGCCTCCGTCACATATCTACATAGTGGGAAGACCCACGAAGAAGATGCAGAACCAGTGTCAGGTACGGAATAAATCCTGAGAGCAAAGGCATTAATCTACTGAATTACACCCAGAGACTGTGTTGTGTTAAGTATCTGTGAGCTGTAAATTCACCTCCTCTGAGCAGAGGGGAGAAGATAATGTTATCTTGGAGCCTCAAGGTGCAAGTTTCTCACTTGGCAGCAAATTGTGGGGACCAAAACATACCCAGAAGTGTACTGCACAGCACAGTGACTAGCGATCTCAGTCGACTGAGGGGTCTCCAACTCATGATTCCAATCTCCGACTTTCAAGGAGCAGCTAAAAGTTTCCCACGATGATTAATATCCTCTGCTTTTCTGTTTCATCAACACACATACACACACACACACACGCACAGAGCTGAGCAGGCTCAGTAGTGAACAATGTGCTGAAGGAGTCTGTGTTCTTGTGTGTTAAGCTGAGGTAGACCAGAGCTTTGCTGGAAGTGACGTTATGCGGTCCTGGTGTGTTTATGTGCAGCAAACACTGTTCAAAAATGGCTTTTTAAATGCTACAGTGCTCGTCTGCAGCCGCTCACATGGTAATTTAGGAGGCAGTTTGGCCTTGTGTGCTGCGATTAATTTGGCATGCGGTTAAAACACTGGTCATAATTTTGCTTTAATGAAAACTCAACTCCTGGCATTTGCTCCTGGTGTTCTTCATCGCTGTTTTTGGAGGAAATAACCGGAGTAACCAGCTTTTAAATTGCCATAGTTTCCTTTTATTTTGAAAAGTAACTGCTAAATATTCAAAGAAACTTTATAGCGTGACATTGTAGAGCAGATTTTGGTGCAGTGGCATGTGGTAGAAATTTGCCTGTCTGTCTCTTCCAGTTCATTCCAGACGGCTACGCTTCCCACCTCTCCCAGCTGGAGTACAACCAGAGGTCTCGTCCCGCCAAGTCCGCCAGCACCCGCATGGTCCTCCGCAAGGGCAGCTTCGGGCTGGGTGCAGCCGGCGGAGACTTCCTTCGCAAGCGCAATCACATCTTTCGCACCATTTCCTCCAAGCAGCCCGGCGGGGCGGGGTCGGCCTCTCCCAACCAGCCGGGGCGGACCGAGCGAACCCTGAGCCAGTGCGAGGTGGAGCGGGATCGAGGGGTCGTGCCGGCCACCCAGAGGAGCATGAGTATAGCTGCAGGGTGCTGGGGTCGCACCGGCAGCACCAAGGAGGGCAGCAGTGGGTTACTGGGCCCTAAATAAGGTTCAGTGAGGAGCTGTGGTGTGAAAGGACCCGGCCTGAGCCACCATGATCTCTGGAGCAGACACAGAGAGAAGAAGATGGAGCGGATGGAGGGTTTGTATTTTAGAAATTAAAGAGATAAGTGAGGGTAACAGCTTTATAGAGATAGAGAAGGATCTGTCCGGGAGGAGTGGACTAATCAGGCCCAGTGGGATCCAGCGAACAAAAGACAATTCTGTAGCATGACTCTTTTACAGTAATACTTTTATAGGATACATCACTTACTATTCAAAAAAAAAAAAGACAAGAAAGGATTAAATGAAATATTGTAAGCCTTAAACTAATCTCGTATAACGGGACCCCTCCTCCCCTTTTACCGCACACACACTCGTAAAGACTGTCCAAGCATTCACACTCTCATGAGCTCAGGACAAACTGCAGAGCCAGATTCATCTTCAAACACGGGTCTGAGCCATGGCAAGGAGCCCATGACTTTCACTTCTGTTTCTGTCCCACTGTCAGCTGAGCTACAACATGTTCAAACACTCTGCCCAGAAGTGACTGGCAATAAGAACAGAGTGCAGAATACACAGTCACTTCATCCAATTTACACATCAGACATATTTACTCACCTTCCTCCTGTGGTGTCTAATCATGCTCATAGTTTTGGGTTTATGTGTGCAGGATTTGATTTGTCACAGATTACAGCATCCACCTTAATACAAGTAATGATGACACTCGGTTTGGAAGGACATTGTGTTGAATTTTCAGCCACTACTGACGACAAAATCTGGTCTGTTTGGTCAGTCCGCACTGAAATATCTTTTAAACTTGATGATGATTTTTAAATTTAAATTTGTTCAATACTTTTATGACCAAATAGCAAAAGTAAAGACATTCCCATTATCCTCAACTCAACATTGTGTCTTCAGTAGTGTTAGCATACTTAGTGTTAATTTTGGCAGTTATTTTAGATTTAGTCTTAGTCTTTAGACAGAAGGGCTTTTAAGTCTAGTTTTAGTTGATAAAAAGTCAATACATTGAACTAATTCACCAAGGCAAATACAGGTATCAGAAATTTGAATCAAGTTGACAGGTCATATCAAGTGTTGAAATTCATGAAAGCAGCATTTCACACGTTTATTTATTTATTATCAAAGTTCTATTTCTTGTCTTTGTTGTGGAAAGAGGCTGCTGACAAACATTTTTTGTCATCGATTTTGTTAAGGCGATAAATACTGCATGCTAATACGCTAATCTAAGATGTTGGACATGGTAAACATTACACCTACTAAACATCAGCGTGTTTGCATTGTCACTAGTCAGGTTTCCATTCAACTGTAAAGCAAATTTTTATGCAAACTTTTGAATTGTCGCCAAAAAGAAATATGAATTATGCATGTTTCATTTGGAGCGAATCAACTTGGTGACACAAAAAGAAAGAAAAAACAATCGAAGTCAAAACAAGTCGCCTCTGCGATCTAAACCATGTACGAAAGAAAAATGGCGACAGGTCTTAGGGAATATGTTTCACTTGGGCAAGTTTAATTGATCTGTCATATTAGCTAATATTAGCCATTTTTCATGCTGTCCAGAAATAAAGACAAATTATGTCGTTTGTGAAATATCCAGGAAACAACAACAGTGGAAACAGCTAATTCTAATCAGATGTTTGCTACATCACAACTTATTTAGCATAGGCCTTTCCAGGTCCCATTTAGCACATCAAATCTTTTTCGACAAAGACAGAAACCATGAGTGTAAAAAATACTCATGCAGTTTTTCTAGTGTGCTATCTTAAGCTGGCTCAAGTAGAGCTTCACAGAGCAGCTAGTATGGCCACAGAATCACGGACAGTCTTATTTATACCACAGCTGCATTGAGGTGGAGACAGAAATCTTAAAAAACTGGGCAAAGCTATCTGCAGATACCACCAGAGGAAAGTCAGAAATATGTACTTTTTTGTAATTTGGGTGAACTGATCCTTTAAACATCTCAGAGCTGGTTTTAAAATCATCACTTCTCATGTTCCTCACCATGTGTTTAAAAGCATAATGGCTAGTTTTCATCCTGCGGTCGGTGTGTGTGAGACTCTGTAGTATTATTATCCCTTTCAGTGTGGCCTCTGGGCCATCCAAGGCCTTAATATTCAACAACACACTTTCTCCACAGATGGAACAGAAAGCAGACAAACAGGGCATGCAGAATTAAAGCAACAACTGAAACTCTGTACAGTCCACAGCAACAATCCCTTTATATATTCATCTGCTTGCAATACCTCTGAATCACCTGCTGGTGGTGTTCTGTTCCCCACGTGCTGCTGCTGCTGCTGCTGGGAGACACTTGTGAGCTGTTCCCCGGCTTCTTGCTCTTTTAGCGCGTAGGACGCCGAACATGAAGGACCTGCAGAGGAGCTGAACTCTGGGAGGGACGGAGGCAGTATTTCAACATAGCTTTCACTCACAGAGACCTGTTAATCTTTCAGTATTTTTACTAATTGGACTGAAGAGTGGGCTGGAAGTGATTCAGCGTGAATGTTGAACAGACTGGATCGATCCTTTTGGTGGTGAATGTGGAAAAAAAATCATGAGAGCAAACATCATGTCATCGCTTCTGTCTGTTGAACTGTATATTTTCATACAAAGGGGACGTAGTAGAAGAGGAAGGAGCCGCCTCACATCTCCAGTCCAAAAACACAAGTGATGTGCACAAAATAGTTTCCAATGCTGATGCCACCCGCGCTCATCAGGACAGGTTCACAGGTCTTAAAACAACAGACAGGTGCCCGTATTAACAGTGGAGCATTATTTGCATGCTGTAATCATCCAACTGTTCATACTGGAGATCAAAAGATTTCTAATGTGCTTCCACTGTAAGTGATGAAGAACAAAATCCACCTTGTTCTGTGCAAAAATGTATCAAATCTTTAGCTGACGATGAAGCTATATAAAGTGTCAGCAGTCAGAGTTAGTCAAATCAAGTGGATTTATTCCAGAGTTAAAGATATTTAGTATGAAATTAGATGAAAATAATGTTTTGTACTGAGTCTGCTCTCCTAACGGAAGATGTGCTGCTGTCTTTACACTCTAGAAACCATGCCAATTTATTGTTTTGATACTCTCAGACTCAAATAAGATAGTTTGTAAATGTGTGGTGGTTCCTCGTGTGGGTGGTAGTTCATTTATTCATTTATTTGGATCCCCATTATTCACTACCAAGATAGCAACTTCTCTTCCTGGGGTCCTCAAATGTGTAATGTTGTTTCTTTGTCTTTTTGTTTAGATTTTTACTGTTGTTTACTTTTGTGTTTGTTTTGTCCTGTTCATTCTCTTTTTTACTTTTCCTCTTCCACATGCTTTTGTTCTGCGAATATAACACTGGAAGATGGTTGTTAAGTATAATCCCATAGGGGGATTGGCCAGACTCTAAAATAAAAATGAATGAATGATGTAGTAAGCAGTCAGGGGAACACCTTAAATGGTTTAAATTGCATCGACAATATAAATCAGCATCAGTTATGATTGCTAATTTTCATATTTTTCTGTTGCTGACCCCTGTGGTGTACCCCAAGGCTCCATCCTAGGTCCTGTTTTATTTAATCACATATGCGTCTAATGGGCTATGACGATGACATGCAACTTTACTTCCCCTTTGAAAGCAAGCAAAAAAACATAACCTAAAGGCCCTTTATAAGCTACATTTTTTAAAGTAAATTAGAAGGGTGTAGACTCAAAACGAGTTTCTCTTGGGCCTCTGTCTTCTGTCTTTTGGTACATATGTCTGAAATCTGGATGCAATTTTTGACACAGTGTCAGAATCTGACAAACAATAAAGTTCTGTCAGTATCAGGACTTCCCACTCACTAATTTATTTGTGGTAGCCCACCACGATAAGCACATCTCCTGCCATGTATTGATTTTGTATTTTTTGAGCTGGACTGTTCACTGGGAGTGCCACTGGAATCTATATTGTTCATTCATTGCACCACACTCTTGCAGTGCAGATTGTACTATGGGCTCAGAGTGAGCAACAGAATGGCAGGTGCAGTGAAAGTCAAACTTAACCGTAAATTGCGCTGGGTCTAAAAGTTTGCCTTCACTCACCTCTGCAGCAGCTGCTCCATTCATCAATCTGATCTGATCAGCTCTGATCGGAATGACTGATCAGTTATCCTACCCATGACTCAAGCTCCACAAACCCGAAGTGTTCTGTCTGAGCTATTCACATACATGCATAAACCTCCAAATTTAAAGAGGAGAGAGAATGATACAAAAGCAAACATACCTGTTGTTGTCAGCTGCTATAATGACAAACTCTGGAGAATAGTCACTTAGTTTTTATTTCTGTCACAGCCTTAGATTTGCTTCAGATAAGCTTTATTTTTGCAGAGAATGAGGAATGTGGATTTTATTCCCCATCATTTAAAGTGAAAGCACATTAAGAAAGGATATTTTAATGATTAGTATGAAAGGAGGGATCATTGCAGCAATCAAAACCTGTTTCAATGTTCATATGGGCACCTGACTGTTGTTTTAAGGCAGATTTGAAAAATTGTGAACCTCTCCTTTAAACCCATGAAAGCTTTTGGATGTGTGGAGGGGTTGTACCTCGTGTTCAGTTCATTTTATCTATGCTGTTGTTTTACGCCCAGCTTCCACTCAACACAAGAGTGTCTGTTTCCACTCTCTGTGTTATCAGCAATGTCTTCAACCCAACACAAGAAGCCAAAATCATTCTCTAAATACTGTAGTTAATCAACTGTGTGACCTCATTGTTGTTTTTTTGCACTAGTTTACGGTGGAATTAGACTCTAGTTACCATCTCATGTCACTACATTTGGACACCTCTGTAGTGCATGACACTTTTTGTTCATTTCAGGGTATACTGTATGTGCCGATACGCACATAGATTCGTCTGTACATTTTGCCAGGATGTGAAGATAATGGAAGTAAATGTGCCAAACAGTAGACAGTTCTTGAGGAGATGTATTTAAACCAGGGGTTTTCAAAGTCTTTGTGGGTCCCCAACACCTCCCGCCCTCCTATTCTATTATTATTCTTTGTCTTAATTCTATTTTTATCATGTTTTGGAGCTACAGTTCCCATAATGCTGTGAGAGATGTAAACAAGGAAGTATGGATTCAGTGAGTTATGCAAGCCCCCTGGAACAGCGCTGGGTCTCTAAATCAGTGAATAAAAATTTCTTAATGTCAAAACCCCAGTGAAATGATGCGTTTGACTATCGGGATTTGGTCTAATAATGACTGGAAAGTCTAGTCGAGCCGCACAGTTAAATAATTTTATCACCATTCAAGTTAGCATATGGCTAAATTAGAAGTTAGCTGTTTGGTTGGCAAATGTCTTGTGAAATTGTGATCATTCACAGATGATAAAATACTTCTTGCAATGTTTAGGCTCCAGAAATCCTGCCATTTTAATTTGTGATACCAGTGGAGCATCTCAGACATGTAGTAAGAATTAAGAGTAAATTTAAACTGTATCTACAACGTAGTAGTGTCAGTTACAGTTGATAATTTTCCATCCTGTTCTGCTGTTGTCTCCTGTGGTGTACCCCAAGGCTCCATCCTGGGCCCTATTATGTTTTATGATATATGCTTCCACTGGGCTTTGTGTTTTGAAAATTCAACATCCCTTATCATGCAGCTAGCCTGTACTTCCCCCTTGAAACCATTCTCAGGCAATTGCAAGACACGTGTTTTTTGTATGATTTATAAGCAAATTTTAGGATGTTTATTTGCAGGGATAATATGATAGGGATATAAGGGGGAAATGTAAGCACACTGAATCCATAATTATCAATCAATCAATTTTATTTATAAAGCCCAATATAACAAATCACAATTTGCCTCACAGGGCTTTACAGCATACAACATCCCTCTGTCCTTATGACCCTCACAGCGGATAAGGAAAAAACTCCCCCAAAAAAACCCTTTAACGGGGGAAAAAAAACGGTAGAAACCTCAGGAAGAGCAAATGAGGAGGGATCCCTCTTCCAGGAAGGACAGACGTGCAATAGATGTGTATCATGTTATGAGTCATGAGCTATGACTCCGAGTATGAGTCATGGTCAAGGTTCCCACATTTTTTACCAATGAATTTTCAAATTTTACTTGCCTGTTGGACTTTCTTTCCGCCAACTAGCTGCATACACTAATCAAGTGATACCAGAGACATTTCAATTGTCATGCAGTGCAGCACTAGATTTTAAAATTAGTCATACAAGGAATAGATTTAATGTTACATTAGATATGTTTCAGGATTTATATGAACATATTTTAAACCAGTGGTTCCCAACTGGTCCAGCCACAGGGTCCATATTTCTCCTCAGTCATTAGTTCAAGGTCCTCACAGTTTAATACATTCAGCGTCATACTCGTGTTTGGCCATGTCGTTGAGCTAGTTTGCCGTATCTGTCAAGTTGCTGTCCATTTGTCACTCACTGTACAGGAGGAAATGGCACTTCAGAGTAAAAGCTTTGTGCTGGAAATTCACTGTACTTAAAAATTAAGCTTGTTTTTGTAAAAACTTGACACGTTTACGAGTCACTTGCAGTCCATTCTGAAAGGACCCTCAACCTACTTTTGGATTGTGACCCACCAGTTGGGAACCACTGTTTTAAACGGTAGCCAAAACAATGTATACTCAAAACATTTCCAAAACATTTGATTAATTCCAACCATTTCCAGGCTTAGAAAACAGTTTCTTCTAAAGTCATAACCTTTATAGGAATTTCATGATCGTGGGAACCTTGTATGGCGCAACTCTCAGCAATTGGACAGTTTTAAAATAACTTTAGTCTCCATGAGCTGTTTGTCACAATCACTGCTGCAACTGCTGACCGTGTTGGTGTGCAGCCAAATCAGCAGACCAAACCACAATAACTAAAACACCTTCATGCACCTGTCTCCTTCACCTCAGCCTTTATTGTTCCCCTGGGGGAGGGGCCTCACAGTTTGAAAACCCCTGATTTACACTGTATCCAACCTTTCATTACAGAAGAAGGGGAGAAGTGTACTGAGAGCATTACTTACTGCTTTGAATTTTGGTGACTGCACCTTTTTAATCTAACGTTCATGTCTGAGAAAGAAAAAGTGGCTTCAACAGAAAACTAAAAATGTCTTTTTAGCTTTGAGAGCAGAGGTCGAGCGTGTTGCTGTAATTGTGGACAATAAGCTGTTTCTCAAGAAGTCACAGACTTTTAGATTGACTTTCTGTGGGTGGCAGGTTTTTGGCTACAAACACATTGTTCCCCTTTAGCCGTTTGGCTGCTGAGTTGAATGTCTGCCCGTTTGGAGCCATGGATGTGTCAGTGTACATACTGTAAAGATGTATATGTAGGACTTATATGGTTGAGAGTTATTTATTTACCTAAAGATCATAATGTTACTCTGGAAATTTCAGGTGAAATATATTTGAAAATATGTAGCATTTTGTTTGTCACTTTGGTGGTCATTGAAGCTACGGACCAACACAGGAGGGTTTTTTGATTTTACCAGTGCAATATCATTGTTCCAATCACAGCCAGGCAAAACCACTATCACAGCAGGGGCACAATCTACCACAACACAAGCTACAGGCAATCCACAGGCTGAAATCATACACACACCACCTGCTGTCGTGTTTCACACCTCGTGAAAACTATTTGTATCTCGCCTACTGTTGACCTCTGCTGTGTCTCTTTACAACAGTCAACTCCTGAGCATTTTATAGGACTTACCGTACCTATTTTTCAAACTGGAGTATTTTACAAAACCTTTGAAATATAACTGGAGGCTGGTTTTTCAGTCAGCAGTGGGTGCATGACAGAAAGTGAAAGCAGCTTTATTTAGCAAGCTGTTTGCATGTCGTCCAGTCAGATTGGATCTACTTAACCTTCATGCTTAACAAGAATAAACCAGTTATGTTGTCCACTATGTCCTCACTGTTTAATGAAATATATATATATAAAAAAAACAGATGCTGACTGTATTTGGGATTATGACAATTACTGCCACATTTGGATCAGACCACTTAGAGATCTACAGACGTTTATCCTCAGCTCAGTTTTAAAACACACAGTCCAGTATTAGTTTTACCATTATCTTAAAAAAACACCCTTTATAAAGAGGTTTTATGTTGTAACAAATCGCTTTATCAGTGGTTAAATAATTACTTTATCTGAGAAACACTCTAATTGTCTGTCTGGCAGAGAGTTAGATGACAAGATCAATATCACTCTCATTATCTGTCTGTTCAGTATAAAGCTGGAGCCTACAGCCTGTTGGCTTAGCTTAGCTTAGCTTAGCACAGAGACCTGAAGCATGGGGAAACAGCTGGACTGGGTGACTACCAAGGTCCCAGTGACAAAATGGCTTTTACTCTAAAGCTTTTGAATGGTTTAAAGTGATTAGCTAATGTTAGCATAAGTAACAAGATGTAGCTTTCTCATTGCCTTTACCCTAACCATAACCACCTCTCTTTTAATGTGATACTTCATAGCTAACATTAGCTAATCGCTAAGTTAGCATTAGCATGAGTAACAAGATGTAGCCTTCCCGTTACTCATACTCAAACATGAACCACCTCTCTATTGACATTATACTTCATATAGCTAGATTGATTTGACAGGTTTTTTGAATAAAAGATGGTAAAAAGAGCAGTCATGTTCAATAACACATCATCATACGTCTGTTACTGCTTTTTTATGGCAGAACCTCCTCTCTTTTACTGTAATACTTCATAGCTAACATTAGCTAAAGTTAGCATTAGCATGAGTAATAAGATAGGCCTTAGAATTACCTTTACCCCAATCTGGAAATCCATCGGTAAGGGGAGAAAAAAAAAACAAAACA